CCCGCTGTGAAGCTTTTCTTGTTTCCATAGCAACAACTACTTCCTGTCAACAGCGTAAACTCGCCTTCAAAATAAAGCCAAGCCAAATTACACTTAAGACATATACAACTGCAACGAAAGTAACAAACACAATGCAATATCCTTTTCAATTTCAAAGAACATAAATTGGGTTACATGAACAAATAACTATAAAACAACAATACTGTAGAATAACAAAAAGAATGCCGTGAATAAACCGAAATACACGTGTCGAAGCGGTTCGCTGCTGATTACTACGCACAAAAATGGTATTCCGGACACCCCTACAAATATCTAATCTTGATCTTAATTGAAAAAACCCTAATATACAAACATTGTAGAAACAATGTTTAATAATGGTTAAAAAAGATCCAATTAGTAAGTAAACTTCAATAATATACAATTATAATAACAGAAGATAAATTACCATACAGTTTGACTTTTTAGTTCTTAGTTTTGTGTTTATACATTTGAGAATACATAAGCATCAAAATGAGGGCTAACTTTTATTGTTTAGCATTGTTGTACAATGTTCCATATCTTTTATATGGTACTGTATTTTCTAAAATACAGTCCTGACATAAACTCTGACCGGTATTTATTTGTGTGCTGTGTGTCCAGGACCTACATGAGGGTTAAAGAACGAGTGGAGGCTGATAAAGACAAGGTAAAATAAATGTTCCATCATGCCCTCTGATTACACTCTGTTGTTGTTTTTACTACTTCCTCCGCCCTTAAGAAGAAGTTTTGACTTCTGCTTTTAAGTGTCACGCTTTTATTAGAATTTTCACTTCTGGTTTCAGTAACTGAAAAATATGTTCATACATGTGGGCGTTTCCAAAATGTCACCCAGAACACCCTATTATCTGTATAATCACACAGATGATACTGCAAGTTTAAGAACATATGAGATAAACACCAGAAAGCCTGTGAACACTCTCATATGTATCATAATGGTAACACTGGGTGCAGGTTCTGGTGGTGAACCCGGTGTTCTTCAAGTACGCTCACGAGCGGTGGACCGAGGGTCACGGGCGCTACCCGTCCACTGGCATGCTGGCCCTCATCTTCGCTCTGCACACCTGCGACCAGGTAGGAGGGGCGAGGGCTTCAGGGGGATATGATCCACACAACTGTGTTATAGCATTTAAAAGATAAAGAACCTCAATATGCCCTGCCCTAAGATGACCACTTTCCTCAAGTTCATGGCAAACTATAATATAACCTTGAAATTGCATACTATATTATGCCTTTTTTGATATACTATTCTATTACTTTTTATGACATTTTACACTATATCACTTTTTTCCAATATTTGTTATGTAGTACATAAGACTTTATTAATTAATTTTTATGACATACTATACTATCACTTTTTAATTGCATACTATACTATTACTTAGTGTGACGTACTATTCTGTGACTTTTTATGACATACTATGATATTTCAAATGGTATTTTGACTATACTTTTATGACTCAGTATAGTATATGACTTTTTTATGACTTGATTTTTTTCTATTACGTTTTTATTACTTTTAATGACATATACTATAATTATGCTTTACTATGCCTTTTTGCAATTAATTTATCGTCATACTTTACTTTTAGTTTTTTTATGATTTCTTATTAACAGTATACTATTACTTTATATGACATTTTATAATATAACTTTTTTTATGTCACCTTTGACTTTTGACAAACTATACTATGACATTTTGATGACAATGTAATGCCATACCATTCATAACTTTTTATTGCATACTATACCATGACATTTACAATAAAGTTACTACTATATGTCATATATATCATGATGTCATGACATCACTTCCTGTCTTCGTTCAGGTGTCCGTGTTCGGTTACGGCGCCGACAAGCAGGGGAACTGGCACCATTACTGGGAAGAGAACCGCAACGCTGGAGCCTTCAGAAAGACCGGCGTCCACAGCGCCGACTTCGAGACAGAGATCATCCAACAGCTGGTCAAAGAGGGCAAGATCAGTCTGCACCTGTGACCCCTGACCCCCAGACCCACTGACCCCCAGACCCACTTCCCACCAGACCACAGCCTGATGGACTGACATGAATAAAGACTGAAAGACGTGCCGACTGATGGACTGACCAACATAAAACTGGAGTTCATTGTCTTGATTGATTGGTTCACAAAGTGCCAATATTTATAGTGAAATTCTGTCCATGGTGATCTCTTTACCTGTCTTATCAGTACAAACCCAAAGATGTTCTGTTTAATATTAAATATAAAACTCTTAATTAATTAATATTTGGCATTAAAGATAACTAAAGAGAGGATTAATTGATTATCTAAAAAGGTAGCTATTATTTTTAACTGACCTATTGTTGCAGCTCTAGTGCTGACTGACCCACAGACAGACCTGCTGACTGAAGGATCCTCTGCTCACTCAGCAGATCATTCTTAGCTCAATTGACAGAGAACCAGCTACATCTCGTCTGGTATCCAGCGGAGTCTAGTTGAAAGTGTCTTTGCAGTCCCAGCTGTGCTAAAATCGGAGTCAACTCTGGACCTTATGTGCCTGCCAGATGTGTCTGTTGGGATTCGGACAGGAGTCAGACCTGTACTTCTTGCACATCAATCACCACGTCTGCCTTGAGTAAGAAACCCATTAATGCCGGAGTGAAGCCGCAGTTGGGTATTGACATTGTTGAATACCTGGATTACCTGTGGATGGAGCCTTTCAGGATGGAGGAGCTAAACCTGCCACTTCACTTGAAGTATGCAGCTTAGATCTCCTCCCTCTGCCTCCTCGCTGGTTTAATTGAAATCCAGCTTAACATGAACATAAATACAGATTTACGGGACCTTCCACTGCTTAAACAGACCTTATGTTGCTGTCTGGGACTGCGAAGATGGACCACACAAGTTGTGCTCTAAGCGGGGAAACAACCACAGACTTTTTATATATTTGATTTGATTTTATAGATATTATACAGGGATAACCTCTTTTTTTATTTTGTATTAAAGCACTTTGCCCTTAAGAAGAAAAGGCACAAAAGGGCCATGTTGTTGCTTTCTCTGTCCAACAAAGACTTTCTTTTCTATTTGATATCATTTATAATCCACCCATTTATTCTGAATGAAACAAACCGTTCTGATCCAGAGGATGTCTCGGTCCGGACAGACTTTAAGTGGAAATGGGACAAAGTCTTTAAGTGTTTTTTAACGTCTACATTTTTGGAATGTAAGCCAATGATGCTTCCTGTCTCGACCATATATGGAACTGGAAACAATGAGTGGGAGGAGCCTGTGTGAGGTTCTCAGCCTGTGTTTAAACTCCTTCATGATGATTCAACAGTCTGCAGTTTTCAGTGGTTTCTCTCACAAAACAGAAGTTTAATGTTTTAAGGGACAACTTTTTTTAGATCCACTAGCTGAAAAAGTTATTGAAAAGCGAAAACTCTGCAGCTTTACATAGCTTCCTTTGTTGTTGAAGACTGTTTCACTTGTGATGTAACTCTTCTGATTCAAAGACGAGGAAACAGTGCAAGACTAAATTAAAGATTTATTTTTAAAAAACGTAGCAAAGTCAAACAATCAGCAACACCACCAGTGTGGGCGGTGCATGGATGAGAGGGAGATGTACAGTAGTGCAATGTAAGTCCAACCAAAAAACCACCAACCATATGAATGAAGACGGACCGACCAGTCCAGCAGGAAGCAGCTGGACTTCCTGTTTAAAGGGAGACGACAGCGCGCTGTCACACCTGTGCTGTGAAAAAACTTGCTGTTTTTCAATCACAGCCGTCTGAATGTTTGTGGCTTCGTTTACACTATGAGAAGTTTCAGGACGTTTCACACTGGGGAAGTTTGAGTCTGAATCTGAGTTCCATTGTCCATCTCAGATAGATAATGGACTTTTTCTTTGCATTTCTGTTTTGTATGATGGGGAAAATTCAGAGTTTGGTGTACCTTCTAAGCATAATATGCAGAACATTTAAGTAATTTGCATCCAGCAGCCGTCCATATTAAGAAAGTATAATTTGGACAGAATATACATCAAACTGTTATTAATTTATTCGTCAATTTGTCAGTCTTCCACGTTGTAATTTAGATTTTATGTGTTGTTTTTAATGGTCACTTTTAAATTGGTGTTTTCACTTTGTTTTTGTTGTGGAAAAAAGTAATTAACGGATATTTTGTCATATATTTGTTTATTTTTATTGACACAGATGTTGACTTTTTAAAGAGAGATATCACAAACTGTAACTCTTAATTTAGCTAATGTTAGCCTTTTTGTGTTGCTTTTGGGAAGGAACAGAAACACATTTATCGTGTATATGCATCTCAATGAATATTTCATTTGGGGTTAAATTGAGCATTTGCATTTAAAATATTTTTCTTTCTTTTTAAAAAGGCAGCTAAATGATGAGCAACTAGCGTTGACCAGCCATACATTAGTATCACCCTAAACTCAGTGCTCTGCCTTTAGTTCTGTTAGCAGTACGTCATCAAACTTCTGTTTTTTAATCTCAAATTTGGACAATAGGTTTCCTGGCTGAGACTCCCAGGTTGACCATGTATTGGATTGGGAAAATTGTAAATACTATAGTTTTTCTGGCGCTCCATTTCCAGATTCAGACCAACTTGCCAGTGTGAAATGGTTTCAAAGCTCAGTCTGCTTCAAACTAACTTGTTGATGCAACGTCTAAAGGCCTGCAGAATGTGTGGTGTGAAAATCCTGCCGTCATATATTCCTCCTGGCAGCATCTCACTGCTTCCTTGAATGCCGTCCAAAATATCTGAGTCTGTGTAAGATGCAGCTGTTGGAGAGTGGGTTTTTAGACGATCCAACAAGCACTTTAAAGCAGACTGAGGGCTCTATATGATCATGGATGCTGAATTATTATCTGGAGGCTCTGCTGGCTTCTCTGCTGCTAACTTTGGCTGCAGTTAAATGCTCTATTAAACCCCATCTGCTGAGTCATCTCAAGCTGGGGTTTAATCTGAAACATCTGCTGCTTGTTTTATAGTTTTAGCAGAGATTTAACACTTTGATGGCTCCCGATTTTATGAGGGACATTGAGCAGCTAAATGACAGAGCAGCAGCCCTCCAGAGTCCTGAGCTGGACTTCACATCCGGAGGGAAGGTTTTGGAGTTTGCTGACTTTAGTTGTAGTAAAAATATGTACTTCCTCACACTAAAGAAAGACAAGTTTGCTGTGAGTATAAATCAAAAGTTGTGCTTATTAATGGTCTTCCTGCAGTCTGGGAATTTAGATTTTTCCACTAGGAATTGGAAGGTGCCGATTAAATCAAATAAACCAATCATGAAGTATGTTCACTTATCATAGCTTTAATCAGCGCTTCATGTTTAAAATGACTGTTTGATAAAAGGACATTTCAGTTTAATTTAGCAAACAACCTACTGATCATTGATTCATTCGTAGTTGCAGAGAGAAGCACTGTGATTTTTCAAAACAACACCGCTGTCACTTTGAATAAAATGAAACAAAAGTACGTGTGTTTTGTTCTTCCAAAGGCTCTGGAGGTACATGTTGGCACAATCAAACACTGATGAAGATGTCTATAAAAGTCCCCTTGGCAGTTTATTTCTGCCGCCATGATAAAAATAAACATTTGCTCAGTTTCCAGTACAAGATGTTGACTTTTAAATTGTTATCAGTAGATACCAAATAATAAATGTGGTTTTCATCATACATCAATCAATTCAATATTTTTCTCTGATGAAACGTCTTGTAACTTTACTGCAAACATGTTTTTCTTTAACACAATACTTTTTCTAGTTGTATGTGTTTTGACACTCTTGTTTTTTTTATCAGCATCGTTTCTGAAACTAGCACGTTTCTCATGATGGAAGAGTTAGGCTGTTGTAGCGCGTTTGCACCAGTCGACCACCTTATTAATGTGTATGTACTATTTACAAAAAAATGTGTCCATTAGCCTGAAAAATCTTATTTCAATGTGAAAAGATCGCATTTTATGAGAAACTGAGCAGATGTATTTTTGAAATGATAGCAGTACCTGCTGTGCTTACTGAGGTGTTTGGAATCTTCAGACATCGAGAATCAGTCTCATTTCAATATCCCACAATCCTTTGTGCTCTGGTCACTTGTCAAGTGGAGGCCCTAGACTAATTTTAGACCCCTGCTCCCAAAACCGCCCTGGCCCTTGTCAGACCTGATAAGCCCTGCCCCTCGAAGGTGACAAAGCCTGAGACAGGACAGAAGAGCTGCACAGGATGAAAAACCATGGAGTGGTGCAGTGATACACTTTGTAAGCCCACCCAGAAGTTAGCATCGCAAGAGCTCCCGCGGCAAAAAGCCAATTGGATTTATCCAACCAACCTCTTTAAGACACATTTAAGTTTCAGACATTCAACAGTGGGCTGACGCATTTTATGTTGGAGAAATAAATGTGAAAACCTAATTAGTCTGTGCTAACCACTTGCCTTACTTCAGGTAGCTAACATAAAACACATTAAAAACCCATTGAATTTGTGACGAGGGAACCTGAACTGTTAAAATGCTAACTCATTTCAGATGTTTAGAACTTATTCCTGCATCACTCCATGAATATATTAAAATAAGTAAATAACAGAAAAAAGTCGTTCAGTTGCACTTCAAAATAAAAGTCCAGTGGATTGTTTTATTTTGAAGTGTAGTACCTATGTGCTTAATACAAATAAATAAATAAATAATAGCACGGTCAACACTTGTCGCTGACCTGTTTGTGCGACATACAGATACAGATACATACATACAGATACATACAGATTCTTCACGGAAAAGGTCAACTGTATTGTCTCCATGGCAACAAAAGCCGCTGGTTGCTGTGACAACATGAACTGTGCCTGGACCATTGGTCATCACAGGAAGCCGTCCGGTCCTGGGAGAAGCAGAGGGACACAATCCTGGGGTTCTGCTGCCTTGGTTCCCCTGGCTTCCAGGTTCTAGTTCTCTAGGCAGACTGGATCTGTACGGGTCCAGGTTCTGGTTCTCCAGGCTGACTGGATCTGTACGGGTCCAGGTTCTGGTTCTCCAGGCGGACTGGATCTATACGGGTCCAGTTTCTGTTGGTTTGGTCCAGGTCAGTCGGAGAGCAGCTGGACGAAGGAGGACGGGAACAAACCCCTCTGGTCCGGTTCTTCCTCTATGTAACCATGCTGCATACACATTCACACACGTGATTACAATTTGAACATGGACTCCATACAACAATGTTCATTTTGACACCAAATTTAGATATGGTTTTACTCCTTAGATAAAAAATATATTAGTTTTAGGCATTTTTGATTGGATTAGATTGGAATATAATCATATCAAAACAAACTAAGTAAGAAAAAAAAGCAATAACAGGAGAAATTAACACTTTTAAAGGTTTGGTCATTAAGTATTTTTCTTTGAAGAAATCTGAGCGTTTGCCATCTTTGTTGTGTACTTTACCATAGTGACATGTTGGGTGTTTCTCAATGTCGAGGAAGGCTGCTCCAGAGCCACTATTTTAAGCATACTACGTAATTGAGTGCCGCAGAAGGACTGTTCCAATGTCCAGCATACCTTGGAATTCTACCGAGGCCGGCTTACTTCGTAGCGAGACATTTCGAGGCTGCACATATGTAGACTCCACGGTCTTAAAATCCCCACAATGCTTTGCGCACGGACCAATTTCCAAATCTTTGGCGGAAATCGCGCTCCATTTAAGGCGGGGCCTCGCATATGACGCACACCTGCACACCTGTTAGCCTGTTCCACAATTCTTCGTTTTCCGAGGCTAGGAAGGATTCTTGCCTCGCTTCTGAAGCAACTGACTCGGAAGACATGTGCTACCAAGCAAGCGTCCTCGACATAGAGAAACATTGAGAAACACCCGTTATGTCCATCAGGAGGCCAGTGGAAAAAGCACCTTCACAGTTGTAGAAGTAGGCCAATGGGAGTACCAATCAGAGTCGGGTTTCTGATACTTACCCACCAATCACTGTCCTCCTTGCCCAGGACCACCAGCACCTGACCCTCAAAGAAGCTCAGCTCATCGTGGTGGTCGGCCTGGCAGTCGTACAGCGCCTCCACCCGGCGGCTCGTCGCACCCCGAGGCTGGTGGAGGTAAGCAAAAAACACGATAATAATAAATATGTCTCGATAATATTAAATATGAATTAAAATAAATGTTCATCATGATTGCTTAGGCATCAGTAGGAGGTGGAACCTTTGTCTTTCATTTGGGGCTGATCAGCTGTTGAGTGCGGTTTCTAAGGCACTGCTGGAGTGTTGCTATGTGGTTTCAATGGTGAATCTAACTGAGTCACATAATAGTAAAACCTATTTAAAAATTGTGTTTAGTTTTTAACCCTTTTTATATTGTAGTACTACTACAACATAAATAAAGGATTGGGCATCTTCTGCCACTACTGAGAACAGGCAATACAGACATAAACCTGTGTATAATCTTATAGTATTAAACTGATCAAAAAGTGAATAGATGCATATTAAATGTATAGAGTGCCTTCAATACAGAGTATTGGGACATCCAAGTACAGCGAATAATTGCTATGCAACTGTAGAAAAGACACTATGTTCAAAACATCAAGTTTCATTTTTCTTCTTTCTTCCCCATATGTAGCCCCCCAGGGGAACTCTTGATTATAAGTGCTTTGAAGGGAGTTTACGGTTATGAAGATTTAAGTAAATTGTTTTTGAAGATCTCACCAATGATGTTCGAGGAAGCGGCTGGGGGGAGGGGCGGTTGTCGTTCTCAAAGCTCTGAGAGCGGTGATTGGTGGGAGAGCCGTTGGGCGGGGCTTTCCTGGCAGGGTGCAGGAAGTGAGAGGAGCTACCGTCACTGTCCGCCCTCCGAAAACCTCAGAAAGAGAGAGAAAATGTCATTGTTAATATATCAATGAGGAACCGGAAGGTTTAGTTCTAACAGCAACTCTTTTTTTTTTACTTGTTAAATGTGTTCATATAAAAATTATAAAGCAATATACATAGCATTGAAATAAAAATAAAAACAGAGGAGAGAAGAGTAAGAAAATTTATGTTAGCTGGAAAATATAACTTGCTCATTGAATTAAAGTAGGACAGTTAACATTTTGTTTCCTTATCGCTATGCAAGAAATGCATTTTAAATCATAAAAATGTTTTCAGAACGACGTATTAAAATCTAGGTAATATAACTATAATGTCAAACCAGGAAAATCCACATTGGAAAAAATTGAATTAAATTATAAACAATTTGTGGATACAAAAAATTGCTGCAGCTTTAAAATAAAGTATTACAAAAATAAAGCAAACAAAATACTATAATAATTACTTAAAGTAATGAATGTAAATATTATGTTTTACAGTCTAACCAGCAGTAGAGAAATTCCAGGAGCCAATACAAATGAAATCTCCTGTGCCGACACACACATAGCTACGTTCATCACAGTGACATATGATAGATCCACCAGACTGCAGACTAATACAACAGACGTGGATGTTTCCGAACAGGAAGTACCTCTCTCTGGACGTTCAGTCAGCGAGCTGAGAGGAGAAGATGGGCTGGAGAGAGAGAGAGAGAGAGAGAGAGAGAGAGAGAGAGAGAGAGAGAGAGAGAGAGAGAGAGAGAGAGAGAGAGAGAGAGAGAGAGAGAGAGACGAGTAGTAGAGAGTACGTACGTACGTACGTACGTACGTAGTACGTACGTACGTACGTACGTACGTAACGTACGTACGTAACGTACGTACGTACGTAACGTAACGTAACGTAACGTAACGTAACGTACGTAACGGTAACGTAACGT